CAGACAGACAGACAGACAGACAGACAGACAGACAGACAGACAGACAGACAGACAGACAGACAGACAGACAGACAGACAGACAGACAGACAGACAGACAGACAGACAGACAGACAGACAGACAGACAGACAGACAGACAGACAGACAGACAGACAGACAGACAGACAGACAGACAGACAGACAGACAGACAGACAGACAGACAGACAGACAGACAGACAGACAGACAGACAGACAGACAGACAGACAGACAGACAGACAGACAGACAGACAGACAGACAGACAGACAGACAGACAGACAGACAGACAGACAGACAGACAGACAGACAGACAGACAGACAGACAGACAGACAGACAGACAGACAGACAGACAGACAGACAGACAGACAGACAGACAGACAGACAGACAGACAGACAGACAGACAGACAGACAGACAGACAGACAGACAGACAGACAGACAGACAGACAGACAGACAGACAGACAGACAGACAGACAGACAGACAGACAGACAGACAGACAGACAGACAGACAGACAGACAGACAGACAGACAGACAGACAGACAGACAGACAGACAGACAGACAGACAGACAGACAGACAGACAGACAGACAGACAGACAGACAGACAGACAGACAGACAGACAGACAGACAGACAGACAGACAGACAGACAGACAGACAGACAGACAGACAGACAGACAGACAGACAGACAGACAGACAGACAGACAGACAGACAGACAGACAGACAGACAGACAGACAGACAGACAGACAGACAGACAGACAGACAGACAGACAGACAGACAGACAGATCATGCAAAAGCCAAGATTAAAACTTAACCCCTGCCTCATCTCAGCATCGGAACAATTTCGGGATAGTATTATTGCAGGTATTATTGCAAATTCAATCGAGTCAGGTACCGATGAAGGTTCCCCGGCGAAATATTACTCTACAAGACTGCCTCCTTGACTCCTTCTTACAAGACTCCTTCTTGCCTCCTATAACTTACCTCTTGGTGATTCTTCATCATGGGGTACATGTGCAGGAACTTCTTTATTGGCGTCGAGAGAGCCACGGCGTGTCGACGGCGGTCCGCGAATGTCAAGTCTCGCAGCGCTTCCCGCTCTTCCTCGGTTAGTCCCTCTTGCCTTAGCCGATTCCTGTGAACTTGCATGTCCTCCTCTGGTTCCGGCGGGAGGTAGTATGTAAAAATGGCAGCTTTTGAGTGTTTTATTTTTGAAGCAAGAAACGGCCTTTAACACGCGGCCCGCTGGGGAGAGGGGGGGGGGGCGAAACGCCCCCATGTTTTCCTGGAATAACTCCAAAATGTGAAGAGCTACCGACTTGTAATTTGGCATACCCCACCAGACATCAATTTTACATCTTTAACACGCGCACTGCAGGGGGGGGGGTTGTTTTCAACCCCCCCCCCTGTGGTTTTTCGCAAATTGCGAGAAAACGGCGGCGCGTAGCACCGCCAAATTTTGCATACCTGTTCTCACAACTTTTGCACACCTTGAGTAAAAATTTTGACCCCAGTTGACCTATGGTCAGGTCACCAGGTCAGGTCAAGTGACCCTACCTCGAAACGTAAATTTCGAAGTTTGCAATCCCACCAAGCCCACAGTTGTTGAGATATGATCTTGAAACCCACAGGAAATAGTAAAGTCATCACGAGCTACAACTTGTATATCTCGGAATTTTTATATCGATGACCTAAGGTCAGGTCATTTTTGCGACCGGCCCATTATAAGTCAATGGGAGAAATTTCAACTTACTCTGAATGCCATCCTATGACTTCAATACGCTCAGGATCATAGTATTACAGGTCTCTGTTGGTGATTTCACCGAAACATATCACTTATGACCTTTGGAAGGTGATCTCCAGGTCATCTTAGGTCACCTGAGGTCACCAGCGGTTTTTCTTCAATAACTTGAGATTGAGTAGAGATAGAGGCTCCGTTCGACGTTTATCGTGTTCTTCTTGTCAATGCGGATCGAATGATATGCAACATGACCTATTTCGGTCAGGTCATGACCTTGACCTGAGGTCAAATTTTCAACTTGACCTTTCGAGGTCATATTATATATCATTCGATGCGCCTTGACGAGCTAAGAACGATGGCGTTCGAATCGATCCTCTGTCTTGTGTGCAAGACAAGTTATTCCAGAAAAACTACCGCGAAATTCCTGCTGTGAAAATCGTAACATTTTGTCTTCGGTGACCTCTGGTGACCTCGTTTTTGACCTGACCCAAAAATGATCTTAGTATTTCTTGTCGATCTCATCTTAACCTATCCAACGCCGTTTACCGCTTGTCGCTACGTTGCGCCGTTTTCGAGATCTCAGGGGGGGGGGGTTGTTTTCAACCCCCCCCCCCCCCTGCAGTTCGTGTTCGGCTCAGACCCGCTGCAGTGCGCGTGTTAAAACAAAATTTAAGATCCTAGCTTCGGGTCGCCAGGGGAGTACAGTGACGTCATCTTTCGCTAATTTTGACCAAAAATAACCCATTGAGCCATCCCGAATGGGACCCATATGGGCTGTAAGTTGGCGAACTGGGCATAGGTGAGCATGGACCACAGGTTGCCGTGTCATGGGCGTCCAGGGTATTTTTTAAACGGGAGAGCCCTTGGCAACGCACGTGCTGCACAACACCCCTGACACGCACCCCATTCGCCAGCTCGATCGGGCAGCGTTTGCCGCATGCCGATCGGCCGTCGGGGCGCCGAGCTACGGGCCCGGGAAGCGACCCCTGCCGGCCTCATTTTGGCGTTTTGACGACGCGTTGCCTTCATTTTCCCATGTTGAGGCAATGGGAGAAAATGCATTTTTTCCAGCGCATGCCACGCACCTCCCCGGGCCCGCATCGACTCGAAACGACCACGGTGCACCGGTTCGCAGCGTCACCTCGGCGCCGTGCAAATTTCAGGCTCCTACCCCCAGCCGTTTAGCCCCGGCGCGTGAGCAAATGCACCCACTGCACAGCGTGATGGGGTCGGGTCGGGTCGGGTCGGGCCGGGCCGGGTCGCGAATACTCAGATTTTCCCATTAATCTCAAAAGAACTCGCTCGTTCGCTGCGCTCACTCGCTCGTAATCATACCTTGATATCCCTCGAAGTTTTCGTAGCGTCTGGACTTCTTCGCCTTCTTCGCCGCTGTCGCCTGGGCCGGCCGCTTGAATGATCCCATGACACCCGGGTCCGGTCGTTTATAGTTCCTCACACGCCATTGAATCTTGTTTTTTACTTGCTCCTGGAGAGAAAATGGGAGAATCCTATGTAATCACTAAATTACCAGTAAACCGCCGTGTTCGGCGAGGGACGGGCGAGCGAAATAACATAAACAAAATTATTTTCACTTTCATCCAGAGAACCATCTTTTGCCGACTTTATCATTTTAATGTCGTTTAACATGTAAAATCATCGAGTCCCTAAATAAATTTGCGATATAATCATATCCACCGACCACCACCCAGAGGCACCATGACATCCTACATCCATGCGCTTTTCATAAATTAAATCCTACATCCATGCGCTTTTCTAATTCATGTCATTCGTGCGCTTACCAGTGCCTGCCTTGAAGTCAAGCCGTGCAGCAGAGCTGGCCACTGCTCGAGCGCCCGGTCCGCTAGATCCATATAGCGGTTATGGGTCATGGTGAGAGATCTGCAAGAGTATGACGCTACTTGAAAAAGATACGAGACATCCAGGTGTTTAGGGATTGGTTTATGAGAAAAGTATTCATTAATATGATAGAGTGGGATAATTCGGAAAAACGAGCGTGTTATGGGTCATGGTGAGAGATCTGCAAGAGTATGACGCTACTTGAAAAAGATACGAGACATCCAGGTGTTTAGGGATTGGTTTATGAGAAAAGTATTCATTAATATGATAGAGTGGGATAATTCGAATAGAGTGCGGTGATTTAACCCTCGCCGTACCAAGTGCTTTCTTACACCTTCCCCACACCAGGGGGGGGGGGGGTTGGTACGACCCCCCCTCGCAATTTCGCTCCTGGTGGAGCTAGAGCGTCGCGGAAAAAACGAGCGTGTTGCTCGTCACGAGACGAGCAATGAAATTTAAATAATTGTGAAATTTAAATAATTGAAATTTATTTAAATGATATTTGGGTTGTACATACTTTACGCTAAACGAGTTCTACCTACTTTCATCCAGCTTACCCCCACTGGTTTGATGAGGACTTTGTCCAAATCTGATACTCCTTCCCTAGTTGTTTCATTTGGCCCACCTACCTGCAAGCGCCTGCAAGATGTTCCTGCTCAGGGCCTTTAAACAGTGTTTGGGTTTGAGCAAATGGGGTGGAGCTCAGAGCTGAGTGGGTCCCAAAGATTTACCCAGTGAATGACTCTATAGGTCATTTATATTCATAAAACCTGTGCACAACTATGTTGTGGTGCTCTGCCTAGAGTGGGCTACAGCCTCACACACAGCAGTCAGGCAAACTGCAGGGAAAAAAATCTAAAATGGATTGATCTTAACTTAGATTATTACATCACAATTTGTGCCCATATTTGGGCATGCTTGCAGACCCTCACTGGAATGGTTAAATCACGGCTCTGGAAAACGACAAGCTTACCACAGCTTCAGATACTAGAGAAAATAATTCAGGCTACATCTCATAAGCAAAAAAGAACCTTTGAAGATATTTTAATTCCACCTACAAGATAAATTAAATAATCAAAATTTAGATTATCTGCACCTGATTCCAGGACAGAAACAAGTGGGTAACCTGCTTTAGATGACGTTGTCAGGTGGCTAATATTAAAATAGATTATGCTAAATTTTAATTTAGATTATTTTGACAGTTGAAATCCAATTTTCAGAGATGTCCTCTCCTATCTTCAGAAATAGCATGCAAAAGATACAACACATCATCATCAGATGCATCATTTAGATAGAGCTGTTCACTCCTTTTAACCACAGTGAATATCTCACCATCATGGGGACTTTGACTGGTGACGAGGGGTTTGAAAGGGAGCAAGTCAGAATTGTAATATTAATATAAATTACATCTCCTTATATGGGCATTGCTCCACCCATTTTTGTGATGTCATATCTTAATTTTGATCAATCCATGTTTGGACTGCTTCCCTGCAGTTTGCCCAACTGACAGGCTTCGGTGTCACCCATGGGTGGAGTTTCTCAAACAAGTTGGTGGGATGAAAATCTTAGGTAAAACCAAAATTGAACCAATGCTGATTTCCAACTAGAATATCAGGGGTACCAACAACCAAACTGATATTCTGGGTGGAGAGAAATTCCACAAAAATACTAAGTTAGAAGCAACCAACATCATAGTTAATATGAAACAAAAATTACAAGCTCCAGAGGCCTTGCTCCAGATACCAAACCAGTTGAGCACACTGTGGTTATTCCGTGCCATATACTATATGTAGAAACGTTTCAGTATATAGAAACAATGTTCCATAGATAGAAACGCTGAGGTGATCATTGTTCCAAATATGGAATAGGGTTTCTGTATGTGGAAACGGAAGGTGCGTGCTCGCCTGTTATTTTAAGTTTTGGAAAAATTGACACCGCATTTCCATCTGCAGTGCTTCCTTGATGCCAATATAAATAGATGGCAGTTAAATGGCAAGGCCATATAACTCCGACCTTGATTTCATATTTTCACGTAGGTAAATTTCAGCATTTATCCATTTATGAAGTGGATTGCTTTGTATTTTAAGTGTGGGTCATGGAGCATGATCACATGTGATTACTTTTCCCCTAAATAAGCTGTGCGTGGTTCTAACATTTTTTTATGTTAGATTGAGATTGGTTGCAGGTCAGTCAGGCTGAGGCACATTGTGGTAGGTAGTTTCGTTCCATCTATGGAAATGCTTCTATTCTTGGAAACATTTCTAAATATGAAAAGTTTTTGATCCATAAATGGAGACTTGCATCGTGCATTGTCATAAGTGGAAACTCTGAACTTCCAGGTGATTTATTTCCAAGCAAAATGTGTAATGTAACTGGATGGCTGATTGCCATCTATTGGCATCAGAAAATAAAGAGGGTTAAAATGTGGAGTGAATTTTGTCAAAGTTAAAAATATTTGTGAAGCCCAAGTCAGTTAAGTATCAGCCCAAACCAGGTTTGGGCTATCATATTTGAAAGGAAACATTTATGGAAGTGTTCCGTCATTCATCCCAGTTTCGCTCCATCTGCAATCACAACCTAAAATTTTATATCACAGGCTGGCATGGAAAAATCTAACCATGGATTTTGACCCACCAACCATGGTACAGGGACCCGCAGTTGCTACTGTACACATATATTACCAATTTAGAATTGCGCTATTATTTGCTAAGTGCTGGCCATTGGAGAAAGGAAATGTAGTGCAAAGTATGGAGAAATAACACATGTTTGCTCATAGGACGTATGTTTTGTATAATTCCTCTTACCACAACAGATATTCTTCCAAAACTACAATCGTGCTATTTTTCCGCGCCGGCTGCCTCCCCAGAGCCCGTCCTTGGTATCGCCTATAGCTTCTGTTCCCGCTACGTGAATGAAAGTCACGTGACTACTACAGGTTTGCGCTCAGTACTAACACACCTAGCCCGAGGGCCGGTCCGTAGCGGGGAGGGGTAGAACGCCAGAGCTCCAGCGCAGTGGAGGTGGTGGTGGCCTGTATCATAAAGAGGTAGCCGTAAGCAGAACTACAATTGCCGCAGTTTAAGATTATGATCAAGTTTTCTTTAGATGTATTGATTGACAAGTAAGTGCAATGCTTATACGATATAATAAAACGGTGTCCAAGGCCTTGGAAGAACTACAAATCATATTCAGCAACGTATAAATTTCTGATACAGGCCATGACCTTTCACCTTGCCTCCGGGGAGGACCGCTCAGGAAGCCACATACCGAACGAATCGAGGCCTCGCAGCGCGGCGGCAGAGGAGGCGGATAAACCATCGCCAGATCTTTCGGTTACTAAATACTAATGTTTCCAGAAGAAGGAGGGGGGGGGGGGGGTGGAGGGTGAGGGCTGTTTTCAACCCACTCACCAATCCTTTCCTTATTAAGTTATAGCTTACCGAAAAATGCAATACAATGGTGGCCGTCAGGAGATGTAGCGAAGAGTGCCTCAGCCACACCGGTTTTGAGTAAACTTTAAGCATTGGAATTCAGGCCAGTGATCCTGAAGCATTATTTTATTTTTGTCGTGCATAAGCTGGGATGACGTGGTTCAAGTTAATAGCGAAGCAACGGTTTTAGTTTCAGAACATTTATGATGCTAGTCGCGCCAAATAGTATACGTTTGTTGCAAAATGTCAAATAGAATGTTGACGTGCTATCCAGATGATGGAATTTATTTGACACAAGAAGTCAAAAAGTGGTATCGTTAGCCATCCTGCATACCTATAAATCGATGCGTCACCTTGGTTCGAGCTCAATAGGTCTTTTCGCGGATGATCGGTTTCGTATTTTCTTTCTTTTTTTTGGGGGGGGGGGCAGATTATGAGCCAGTAACCACCCTCCCCAGTCCCCCAAACAACAATTGTTGACAAATACTGTGATGGCCTAAAAAAATGCCCTCACTCTTTCCTATTTGGGGCTCTCAACTTTGATTTATTAAAGTTTTTTGTCTGTTCATTATAAAAGCTGTCAAATTTGCCGTATCATTAAACTTTTATTGAGTTTGTATTTCACACTTATCTAAAATGAACAATTTTGCCACTGGCTTCTTTTATGAATGGAATTGGATGGTCGCATGAATGAACGAATGAATAGCTCCATCTGAGCATCAGCTGAAATCAATCCTAAAATTTAATCTACCAGTCTGCAACGAAAATGTTTAAAAACCAGTGCAAGTTAGGTGCAGTTTCTAATCTATGCCGTTTTTATTAAGTGTCTCATAGCTCCTTAATCTTGAGCCGCTTCTCTTACGATTCATCTTATGTGGTGCTTACATTGCTCAAGAAGTTATAGTATTCGAGCTCGTTGGTCTTAAAAACTGCTATCGAAGTAAATTAAAGTGCTTCGGGCTTCGGCACTTAAAAACCAATCGATATTTAACCCTCACCTACTTAGGCATTTCTTTCCAGCGTCTAACATGTAGCGGAGGGGCGTATAAACTAGTGGTGTCAATTTCAGAAAACGTATGTCCAAAGTCCGTCCAATGTCCAATGCTTGCGTCGATTGTCCGTCCAAAAATGTCCAAACCAGCCATTTGTCCAAAGATGTCCGACACCTACGCAATAGTTTACACTCAACACTGTTATTTAATTTGCTTTTCATGTACCGTTACAAGCTCAAAAGTGTTAATCATATCGAAAGCTGAGCTTTCTAATAGCCAATCAATGTTAAACACGACTACTTTTTAAAAATGTTGATGTGTAGCAAGCGATTGTCCAAAATTGTCCAAAGCCTGCTGCCATTGTCCAACCGAATTCCGAATTGGACATTGGACAAAATCGGAATTCCGAAGATTCAAGTTCCGAACCACTAGTATAAACCCTCAGCCATTCGGTCCTTGATAAAAATAGCCAGAGCTTCGCTGAAAAATAAAAAAGAGCGAGCTGCTCGTGACGAGAGAAATCCGATGATTTGAGGGTCCTGGTCATCGCTGACGAGAGAAAGCCAATTATTTTTATGTCCTGGTCAATGCTGAGATCCTAGGTCACTGGTTGACCTCCCAGATCAGGTTAATAACCCAAAAGCACGGAAAATTGGGTCCTGCTAGAATTTCTACATGAGTGAAGTTTGCTGGGACTTGGCTTGCTTCTGACTCCGA